TGGGAAGGACTTCACGCAGCGTTTGACTCACCGTTGTATTTCAGTATGGCATTCCATCCACAGACGGACGGCCAGTCGAAGCGTACCATCCAGATATTAGAGGATATGCTTTAGGCATGCGTGTTTGATTTGGGAGGTAGTTAGAAAGATCACCTTCCACTTATTGAGTTTGCCTACAATAACAGTTATCAGGCAAGTATTCATATGGCTCCATTTAAGGCATTATATGGTAGACCTTGTAGGTCTCCTGTTTATTAGACTGAGGTGGGCGAAACAGCCGCCTTGGGACTTAACATTGTACTTGAGACGACTGAGAGATTAAGCTGATTAGACAAAGATTGCTTACAGCTCAAAGCCGACAAAAGAGTTATGCGGATAGGCGGAGATGACCGCTATCATTTGAGGTGGGAAATCATGTCTTTCTTCGGGTTTCTCCACGGAAGGGGTTGATGAGGTTCGGGAAGAGTGGCAAGTTATTGCTATGATTCATTGGACCTTTTGAGATCTTGGACCGTGTAAGAGAGGTTGCCTATAGACTAGCATTGCTTCCACAGATGGACAGAGTCCATAGTGTTTTCCATGTATCGATGCTACGAAAATATGAGCCGAATCCATCTCACATTTTGAGTTGGGTTGATATGGACATTGATGAGGATGTTTCTACGAGGAGGGACCAATTCAAATCCTTGACATACGGTAGAAGGAGTTGAGGAATAAGACGATACCGTTGGTAAAGGTTCTTTGAAGGCATCACGGAGTTGAGGAGGCTATTTGGGAGCTTGAACAGGAGGTTCGCTCCAAGTATACAGAGTTGTTTCCTCCCTCAAGTATGGCTTGATTTCGGGGACAAAATCTTTTTAAGTTGCGGAGAATGTAATGTTTACGATTTTTGCCATTTTCTATTTTTTTAAAATTTTCTGTTTTACGAGGGTACTTTTGTCTTTTCTCATTTTACGTGCCGGACACCATGTGGTATGCCGGGTGTGTCAAAGGGTTGATTAAGGTATTTCCTTGAGTTCAGGGCTCGTGAAAATGTAATGGTCACCATTTCGGCATTTTTCATTTTTCGGGTCGAGAGGTTTCAAGTGGGACTCATTACCAGGATTATTGTGTACGAGGGTTGTGTCACGGGTCCATTGCATTTTTTGCATTATTATTTTTGTGCATAGATTATTTGTTTATATGTTAATTGGTGTGGTGGTGAATTAGTTATTGTATATATAAAAATATATATATGTTTATGTTATTAAAGATTATTATAAAAGAAAAATGTAATACTCCTAAATTTAAAAGGATAGTCTCGGTATTATTCTTAATGTTTTAGTTGTATTTTATTTATTTATTTGATTATGTGATTATTTTCTTATGTGTTTAATTGAATTGTTTAATTATATATTTTATTTGCTTAAATGTGTTATTTGACTTCACTGATTATGTGCTTGAATATTATTTGACTTAGTTGGTTTAATTAAATTGTTAGGTGTTGTTTATTTGGAATAAATTGTAAAATAAATGTTTCTTTTGTTTTATTTTTATTTTTAATGGTTAGTAGTAATGGGCCAATCAATTGGGTTACATGGACTACTTAGATAAGGGGTTTAATGGATATGGATAATTACCCATGGATAGTTGTATATGTATATATATATATATATATATATAAGGGAAGTCCTTTGATAATAATCTGATGTATATTTATATATTTTATATAATACGAATATACATAGATTATACGTAACATATATTTAAGTTACCTTTTTGGTATTTTATTTTTATTTTTTTTCTTTATTAGTTTGACTTGGATTGGGAGAAGGAATATGGTTATTATTTAGCATATAAATATATAACTATAGGGTTGAAAAGGGGACTAGAAATATATCACGCATTATTTTAGAGAGAGAAAGAAGGAAAAAGAAGGAAAAGAAAGAGGAAGAATGATGTTAGGGTTTTTATCAAATCCCTAAAGGTAAGTTCTTGTTCTATACTTCTCCTTTAATCTGTGGAATATGTATCTCTAATATAATCTTAGGGTTGTTTAAAGAACAATTAAAACTGAAATTTATAATTTAATTAATCTAAAATATAGGTTTTATAAATTATATTTCTTGGTTGTTCTTGTTGTATGAATTGATAAATTCATTGGTTTGATCTGATTTCTTTATGAATTTTTGCATGTTTTAATGATGTAATTTCATATCTGTGTATTGATGGAATCTAGAAACATGCCTTAGAATCCTTAAACATTAAAGTATGAATTCACTGTAAAAGTTCTGGGTTGAAACACGTGAACCGTGTTCGTTTATTGTTACAGTACTAGAGCCTTGGAGGCAAAGCTCGAGCCATGGGTGAAAAGCTCAAGTCTGAAAAGAAAAGCTTGAGCCATAGGTGAAAAGCTCGAGCCTTGACCAGGAAGCTCGAGCAATTAGGACAAAAGCTTGAGCCTTACCTGGGGAAGTTTCGTAAACAGTGTTAAATAAATTTTAATTGATTTTGAGGGGTCCTACATATTAAATAAGGACTAAGTATGAGTTTGAATGAATTCTAAATAGATTTAAATATAACAATGCTTGCTATTTGAATTCTTTGAGGAATGAATGGATTTAATCTTTATTTTGTTCTAACAATTAAGATTAAATGTGTAGCATGAATTGTATTTAGAGAATGCTTACTTGACTGTATAGTAAAATATCAGCATGTTTAAGATTCAGTTTGTGTAGGATATATGATGTAGGAAGCTTAAATAAATTATAAGTCATTCCTATTTTGTGATAGCATGATATTATATTATTTTGTTTATATATGGATTATTTGATGTACTTCTTCAATTGTTACATCAACTATTGGATTGTGTGGATATAGTGCACCAGTATAGGATGGTGGCATTCTAGGGATGGATTAACTTATCAGTTAAGTCCTACCTATTTTGTATAAGGGAATGGATTAACTAAAATATTAAGTCCTATTTATATTCGTGTCAAGTTAACTGAACAAGTTGGATGATACATAGTGGATTACTTTATACTGGATAAGATATATTATATATTATATATTAATATATATATATATATATATATAAACATATGCCATGATATGAGCTTGAGTCTCAAGATCAGTGGATAGAGTGCGTATATTGCTAGGATGTATAGTTAGATATAGTGTAGTTGTGTACCCTGGTAAGTCTAGGGACTCATGCCCACTATAAATGCGTTTTGCATGTTGCTTACTATCAGGTTAAGACAACCCTGTAGTCTAGTGAAGTTCCTTTAGTGTGTATGTATATATATTTATGGACTACGCAGTTATTGCATAGGTTAGCTATAGATATATAGTTTCTCCGGTCTCTATTTGGGTTGTCGTAGACAGAACTTGTTTGTGAGTCTGATCCACTATTATTTTTCAGGTGTTCGTCAGTTACAGACATAGAGCTTGTTCGTACTAAGTAGAGACCATCCACATCACTCTTCCGATTCTACGTAGGATTCTCTTTATGTTTTAGTTTCGGGTTACTTCTTTCAGTTATTTCTGTTGGGTTATCATTAGGGGTCCACTAGATGGATTCCCGAGTTGTAATGATATTAAAGGTTTGGATATTTCGTTTGGAGGATTAATTATTTATTAATTTAAGGATTTATTATTAAGTTTTCTTTTTTGTTATTTTATTTATTCTTAGTTATTTCTTTTGTAATCAAATGTTTGTTTATATACTTAATTGTTTGGTATCGCTTGGATCTGTGCTCGAACTTGATCACCTATGATTCTAGAAATGAGGAGTATCACAATGACAAAAAATGGTTTTGGAAAAATGGGGAACGACATTGCATGGTATTGCACTCTATAGCACGGCATGGTTCGTTCATGACTTTGGTTCTTGTAGTTGATGTTATTATTTTATTTTTCTAGAATGGTATGATCCCATTTCCCTTTCCTCTGTTCTTTGTTTGGATTCACGGGGTTTTAAGAGGTGTGTCTTAGGCACCACCTACTGAGCAATTTGTTCACCCTTCTATTGATTAACATTTTTTAGGAAATGGGAAAGAAGTGGCGGATAACATTCCATCATAAGTCTAGTATGGATTAGATGATCATTTTGTTATTTTTCTATCTAAGTCCCACTATTTTTGTAAAACGTAGCATATTGTATTATGTACTAAGACTTATGGACTCTTATTATTGTAATTATATTCATGGGTTGTAATTTTAATATAAGTTGTCTAAATATTGTAAGACATGGACTTTTGATATTAGCCATGTTTTTGGGACTGTAATTATGATATTTGGATTAAATGGTATATGGTTATTATATTACAAAATGAACTATGTTGAGGCATAATGAATGGATGAAAGAAATATTGAAATGTATTATTTGTACTGCGTGTTGGGACATGTTAGATTAGTTTTGAAGGTTCAAGAGAGACCATTGCATTTTTATGTACTTCAACAGGTTGTTAAGGGACTTTTTCTGCGGAGGTCATGCCGAAATTTTATATATTATTATTATTATTATTTTGGTATCTTTTTGGGTCGTTACATTTCATCTCTGTAGATTTGCAAAAATTAGACGGTTTTGACTCAAAACTTAATTTGGGTTTTCTTCAAACTTGTATACTTTTTATATTTGATTGAACTCTGAAAATGGAGAGGATTTCTTGGGTTTGAACTCAAAAAGAATCGGTAATTACGGTGAAGGAAGAGGCTGTTGAAGGATGCATAGACTCGGGTAATTTATCCCATGCATATACACACATGTATACAACATATAGTTTTGTATGTATATTACATTGATTTTTACATGCATATAAATGACCATAATTTTGATCTAAGCACTGTGCTTATATCTATGTACATTATATATTTATTTCCAGGTTGAAGTGACCAAAAGAGTAAATTGGGCTACTTAATTTGAATTGGACATCAACAATTTGATAATGAGTGTAATTTTCCTGCTAACATATAGAGAGAGAGAGAGGATCGTTCATGGGAGAAATTAAAGCATGTGCACACGCAAGTTGTATGTAGAATCAAGCACAAGAAATTGTTTATTTGCAAACAATTACATGAACACATAATTACCAAGGCCTTTCCATCTCCTCACTTTCAAAAAATTAATAAAAAAATACATGAACACCACTCTCAGCAAGCACAAAAGGAAAAATTAAAACAATTAATAACACACACAATTTTAATTAAAAAAAGGCTATACATAGTCCCATTATCAATCTGAAAGGTTTCATGGATGAATCAGATCAGCAACTGGCATCCCAACCAACCATTTTGCGTCGCATCTCAAAGTAGACAGAAGGGTTATACCGGCCAATGGGCATCTTGGCGAAGGTGTATATTACACTAAAGAAATTATATGTACCCCCAAGATAGGAAATGAATGGTAATGGGACTGTAATATAAGAAGCAACAGTTTTTGGTGTTGTGAAAAGCACTGAAATGATATAGCTGAAGACGAGGAACCACAGGCATAGTCTCAGCAGCCGAAAGTGAAAGCCAAGTTGGAGGGTAAGACTAATAACTGCAACTGAGATTGCAAATGCTGTTGAGTTAATAAACAAAAGACTATAGTAAAGAAATTCAGACACAAGTAATGTCTTCCTTCCCGATTCGTCTTTGTCGAATATGCCACTAGGAGGCTTCACTGCAACTTGGTATGTGGCTGTTGCAACAAGAGTAGCTACCAGTAGCATCGTATTTTTCATATCCTCAGACATCTTTTTCATGTTAAATAAATCTGGGATTCGTTTCAAACATATAAACTCTGTGAGATCACCATCACTAGTTGAATAAGGATTCCATGGAGTAGTAGTAGTACTACATGATCTTGCAACTCCTACACCACCCATTAACATTTTTGTGATCTCTGATCTGTTGCCTCCATCCCTACGACGACTTAAATCAAGAGGTGTCCAACCCTCCAAATTCTTATCATTTTTTATCTTCATTACTCTAACCAACTTCTCCACAACCTGATCATAAAATATAATATAATATATATATATATATATATATATATATATAAGCCCAAAATCAGTTGCATTTTACAAATCAATTAAACAATTAAACTAATCAGTATTGTACGTAATTGGAATTATATATATGGGATGTGGTTATTAAAAATGACTTTTAAAAAGTTAGATATAGTATGTAATAGAGGATTAATATGAGAGAATTCATATGGTCGACCCCATTCATATGAGATTAAAGAAAATTAAGAGAGTTAGAGCATGCATGCCTCTGGTTGGTGGGTATACACTGCAATGTGCAACGCGGTGTTGCCACCCTCGTCCTTCCAATGTAGCATCAGTCCACGATCAGTCTTATCAGCCCATTCGAAAAGGACTTCAAAAGCTTCAACATTACAGTTTCTCACGGCAATATGCACAGCAGTCTCACCTCGAATTGTCAAATCATTCACGGAGTCTGGACAGGCGCATAGAAATTCAGCCAAAAGATGGAATTCATTCATTTCAGCTACATAATGCAAAGGAGTAATTCTCTCCCTTCCTTGGACACGGATGAGCTCGCTGTTAATATTTATGAGCCGTGTCACAGTCTCAGCATGCCGGTTTTGCAGAGCCAGGTGCAAGGGGCTTAGCCCATCCGGATTTAGCTTCGTACCAAATGATGGCATTAAGCTAATCATTTCAGCTGCAAAATGTGTATCCCCAATGGATGCAGCTATGTGTAGAGGGGTATCAACAAATGGAATCTCATCAATAATTTCCAATACATTTGGAGATTTTCGAAACAATGCATACAAGCCATTGATGGCTCTTGCTCGAGCTATGGCAGTTGCCTCCGTGATCAACCTCTGCTGTTCAGCTGCATCCTCCATCGACATGTACCTTTGCTGGTCTATTCCTATATATATAGTAGACAAATTATATTAATTCATTGATGATCAACTAGTAGAATATGTTATTGTTAGTGGAATTAATGTGCATGGTGACCAAATGGTTATATTGGATAGTGTTGAGAAAAAGCAGTAACTTTGTGTAAATTAATAGAACTGAATCAAATTTCAAATCAATCACCACAGTCAAATAATAAATTAATAAATAATGTAAGAATAAGAAAAAAGGTCGATCAAAAACTTTCATGCTCTAGGTACATGCAAATGTTAACAATCATTATCAACAAACTAAGAAACAGTTCAAGTCTCATCAAAAAATAGAGTAAATGAGAACGAACGTATATACCAAAACGAGTTATCTTGGGAAGAAGTACTAGAAGCAACGGTTTGAAAAAGATAGATAACTAGTGAAACATGAAGCTGTGAATATATATAAACTTTTGAATTTTAAACAAAATAAGAGAAATCTATATAGAGATATATGAATCTTTCATCTGACAGAAAGAATCATTTTTTCCCCCTTCGTTTCCATTTCTTTTTCTTTTTGCTAAGTTCCCATATCTTTAATTGTCACCTGTCTTAACATACACAATTGTTTCTCATGCCATTGCCGAAGATCACCTTTGTGATGGAAAAGATAATGTCTGATGACCATGATGATGAGCCTTAAGTATAGAAGTTAAACCCTAAGAATTTCAAGTATTGAATTTTAAGTTACAGTAGTAAATTGAAAATTTCTCCAATGTATGATATTTGTCTAAGTGATATTTAAATTGCCTTTATCAAACTCATTACTTAATATATTTTAGATGGATTTATATTTAAATGAGTCTTGTGGGTTATTTTAGATCCATTTATACATTATTCCTAAACTTGCGGTTATTAGTCTCACACTTTTTTCTTTATTATTTTTTTATGTCTTGTGATAGGACGGATAATACAATTTTTTTTCGTAGTTGGTACTCGAGCCCCCGACCTCTCCCTTTAGAAAATAGAGACCTCGCGGGTCGGGTTCGACAATAACCTTACATTTATATGATATAGTTTTTGAGTTAATAAGAGCATGTTTAATAACCACTTTCGTTTCTAGTTTTTGTTACAAAATTGATGAAAAACAATATAGGTGTGAAAACACAATTAGTAACGTTTTATTATGTTTTTCACAATACCCCATCTACTTACAACTCAATACCGGAAGATAAAAAGTGCTGCTTCTACTTTATATAAAATAAAAGAAAGGCACAATAAAAGCTGCACGGGCACTAGCATTTTAACTACTTTGAATATAATAATTTGCTTGAGGAGGGGTTTATCATATATTTTTAATGGTTTTGTTCTTGTCGATCTCTTTAATTTTTTCTGGCTCAGTGGCTCCTTTGGTGGGCCCTCTTATCTTTGATGGGTTGGCAGGGTCGCCCCTTTTATTTCGGCTGTCTTCTGTGGGCTTTAATAGTCCTTTACTTGGGCCTAAAGGCTAGTCCCCTTCCTCTTCACATTTTCTTAACATGCATGTTTCACGATGTCGTATCATGATGCGAAATGGTGATTCGAGTGAAAGAGCCAACTGTCATGTGTTTAAAGTTTTTATATGATGATATATTGTACAATATATCCAATTCAAAGAGTCATTTTCAAAGTATTAACGGTAAATACAATAATTATTTCGAAACTTAAAATGTCACCCAATTCAAATTAAAGAATGAGACCTAAAATATTTTTTGTTGACGTGACCAAGATCGAACCTTGTCTGTGTTTAGTATTTGTAACCAACTAGATCATTATGAATGCTTAATGCGTACGGGTAAGTTTAAGTTATCGATGATAATGGTGACAGTCTTTTTAGTTTGTACATGTTAGTATTTTTTATTATGTTATTACAAGGGGACAGATCTAGGAATTTATATGAGAGGGGGGAGGAGAAATTTATATAGAGGGATTTTTTCATAATTTCAATGTAGATAATTTTAAAATTTTATGAGTATAAATGCAAAAAAATATAAATTTAAGGGTATAAAATATAACAATAAAAATTTTCAGTGGGGGCAAATGCCCTCACTAAGCCCTTCACAAATCCGTCCCCACAAGTAACTATGGTGATAATAGTTTTTTGAGATAATATCCATGGATGCACCAACATATTTTCTTTTAATACTGCGAGGAAAAGAAACATGATGGATATTAACAACAATGTCCCATGAAATGTGGTGAATTAATTATTGGTATTGTATGAATTAGGACACTCTATTTTGACAACATTCTTGTTGGGCTCGTTACCATCTCAATTATATTTGTCTTTAGAATCAAATTGGCATCCCAAAAACCATTGACTATACTTATTGGTATTGTATGAATTAGGACACTATTTTGATAGCCTTCTTGTTGAGTTTTGATGAAGCAGTGCAGGTTGGTGACTCAACTAAATGGGAGTTAGTTATGCTGGATGTGATGGACTCACTCATGTCTGATTAGACATGAAAGCTAACTTAAATATCAAAAGATAATATGTTTTTACATAACAAGTGAGTTTATAGAATCAAAGAAGAACATGATGGCAACAAGAGTTACAAAGCTAGATTGATTGTGAAGGGATTTCAACAAAAAGTATGGTGTTGACTACACTGAGATTTTCTCCTTGGTTGTAAAGTTGACTATAATCAAATTGGTGCTTGGAATTATAGCTATAGAAGATTTGAATCTTGAGTTGTTAGACATGAAGTCTGGCTTTCTTCGTGGTGATTTTGAGACAGATATCTACATGAGGCAACCACAGGATTCACAGTGCCAGAAAAGAAGGGTTTGGTCTGCAAGTTGAAAAAGAGCTTTTATGGTTTAAAGTAAACTCCGAGACAATGGTACAAGAAGTTCGATGGATTCATGTACAGTAATGGTTTCACGAGATGCATGTACAATAATGGTTTCACGAGATGCCATATATGTAGATCATTGTTGTTATATTAAGAGGGTTGACAACAACTACACTATCTTAATATTGTATGTTGAGGATGTTGGTTGCTAGGTCAAATCTCAAGGATATTAATTAATAATTTTCTGAGCATTTTGCAATGAAAGATTTGGGTGAAGCAAAACAAATTCTTGATATGAGGATTTGCAAAGACAAAGTACGTGGGTGATATTCTGAAGCAGTCATAAGCAAAGTATGTTAAAAAGGTTCTGAGCAGGTTCAACATGCAAGATACAAAATCACTGAATACCTTATCAGCTAGTCACTTCAAACTAACTAATGAGCAGTCGCCCAAGACAGAGGAGGAGCAAGCATACATAATAAGAGTTCCATATGCCTCAGTTATTGGTAGCCTAATGTATGCTACGATTTGTACCAGAACGGATATACACGTGTAGCGGGAGTTGTGAGCAGGCACATATATAAGTAATCCAAGTAAATATCATTGGGAGTGGTTAAATAGGTCCTTAGATACTTTGAAGAGTACCACAAAAATAACACTATGTTTTACTGGGAAGAGTATTGCATTGCAGCATTATGTTGATTCAAACTTGGCTGGTGATACGAATAATTGGAAAAGTACTACTAGGTATCTGTATACTTTGGGTGGTAAAACAGTGAGTTGGGTTACTCAGTTACAGAATATTGTGGCTCTTTCGACGATAGAAGCTGAATATGAAGTTAGGATGGAGATGATTTGGTTACATGGTTTCTTGAAAGAATTAGGCAAGAAGTAAGAGAATAATATTTTGTACAGTGATAATCAGAGTGTTATTCATCTAGATAAGAATCCAACGTTTCATTCAAGGACGAAGCACATATATTTTAGGTGCCATTTCATACGCTCGCTTTTGGATGATAGACATCTATCACTTGAGAAGATCCATGGAAGTCAAAATCCAACCGACATCACTGAGAAACCGAAGCTATGTTTAGCTTTAGTTGGTGTTCAAGCTAAAGGACAGATGAGTGAGTTGCTATGGAGTTTTGCTACATATGAAGTATGGGGGAGTTCACAGTTTGATGTTATCAACTTCCAAGTGGGAAGATTGATAGGTAGTGTGGAGTCTGATATATACTATACAGGATATTTTGGTTATTTTCACACTTGATATGTTGCCATAATGCGGGAGTATTTAAACTTTTTATATCTAACACCTTTTTATTTATTTATTTATTTATCATTATAGTAATATCCTTGTAACCCTTAAACGTACGTGGTCCTAATTTTGAATGAACTAAATAAAAAAATGTGTTTGATACGTTTTTATATGTGTTCTGTTCAATTTCGCAACAACCAGTTCAAGGGAGAAAATAGTATATCCAAACAGGTTGTAAAATATATCAAGCACACTATCAAATTGTTTATTAATTTGCAAATTAACAATAGCATGAACACACCACCAAGGGTTGACATCCCTTCTCCTTGCAAAGTGAAGGGGAGAGTAAAAAGAGAAATTTACAACAATTAATAACACACGTGATTTTATTAATTGCACCTAATTCGGGTTTCATGGAATGGATCAGATCAGTGAATTGCATCCCAACCAACCATTTTCTTTCGCATATCAAAGTAGCGGGAAGCGTTATACCTGCCAATGGGCATCCTGGTGAAGACGAATATTTCACGGAGGTAATTAAATGTACTCCAGAAATATAAAAGGAATGGTGCTGCGACTACAAAATAAGAAAAAACATTTTTCGGTGCTGTGAAAAGCACTGAAATTATGTAGCTGAACATGATGAAATGTAGGCATAGTCGCATTAGCTGATATTGAATGCCAATTTGGAGGGTAAAAAAAATTACTCCAACCGAGTTTGCAAAGGCTGTTGAGTTAATAAACAGAAGACAATAGTACAAAAATTCAGGCACAGCTAGTGTCGTCGTGCTCTTTCCGTTTTTGTCTTGCCTGAAAATTCCCTCAGGGGGGCTGACCGCAACTTGGTAAGTGGCTGTTGCAACAAGAGTAGCTATCACTAGTTGCATATTGTTTGACATCTTTCTCATATTAAAGATATTAGAGACTCGTCTGTTCCTTATAAAGTCTGCCAGATATTTATCACTAATTGAATTAGGTTTCCAAAACCAAGCAAATGATCTTGAAGCTAACATATTTTTGATCTCACTGTTTAACTCATCACTACTAATTAAATCAAAAGCTGTCAAACCCAGCATATTCTTATCACCCTTTACCTCCACAGCTTTAAGCAATTGCTTCACAACCTGATCATCAAATATATATATAAACCAAAATTAAATTGCATTTTAATAATCAATTAATAAAAGAAATAACATTGTAAATGGAAGTTAATTAAGCAAAATTAAGAGAGCTAGCAAGCATGCATGCCTGAGGTTGGTTAGTGTATGCGGCAATGTGCAACACTGTGTTGCCATCCTCATCCTTCCATTGTAGCACCAGTTCATTACTGGTCTTATCAATCCAATTAAAAAGGACTTCAAAAGCTTCGAAATTACAGTTTCTCACCGCAATATGCACAGCAGTCTCACCTCGAATTGTCAAATCTTGCACAGATTCTGGACAAGCGCATAGAAATTCAGCCAAAAGACGGACTTCATTTTTTTCAGCTACATAATGCAAAGGAGTAATCCCCCCCTTCCCTTGGACACGGATGAGCTCGCTGTTAATATTTATGAGCCTTATCACAGTCTCGGTACGCCCATTTTGCAAAGCCAAATGCAAGGGGCTTAAGCCATCTGGATTTAGCTTCTTACCAAATGATGGCATTAAGCTAATCATTTCTACTGCAAAATGTGTATGCCCAATCGATGCAGCGCTGTGTAGAGGTGTATCAACAAATCGAATCCGATCAATGCTCTGCAATACATTTGGATTGTTTTGAAACAATGCATACAAGGCATCGATGTCTCCTGCTTGAGCCGCTAGAGCTGCCACCTTCATCAACCTCTGCTCATCCATCCCTATATAGTAAGAGAATGCATGCATGAGACATATATTAAGGCATGCAGCTATATATATATATATATATATATATATATATATATATATATATTCCTACAGCTAAATTAATAATCTATAATAATTCCTCGATGATATCAACTAGTATAATATATTATTAGTAATTAATAAAATCTGCATGGTGACCTATAATAAATAAAACAACAAGAACAAGAGAAAGAATTAAGAAACTGTCACTAAAATGATGGAGACATGCAAATGTTAGCAATCATTACATATAATGGATTCTAGCAACATTATTAACAACTAAGAAACAGTTTTAAGTCTCATCAAAAGATGAGTATATATACATGAGAACGTACGAGTTATTTTAATTGTGAAGGAAGCTAAAGCACCGACTTGAAGAGATAGACAAGTGAAACTCGAAGCTCTGATTATATAAACTTCTGAATTTTAAACGAAAAATAAGTTTATATATTCACAGCTAATATTCACAGCTAAGGGAAATCTATCATCTGATAAAGAGAATCATTTTCCAACATTCGTTTCCATATCTTTTTCTTTTTAATAAATTATCATTTCTTTGTCGCCTATCTTAACATACACAATTGTTTCTCATGCCATTGCCGAAGATTGCCTTTTTGATGGTGATGATAATGTGTGATGACCATGAGGATGACACCTAAGTACAAAAGTTAGTACTAAAAATTTAAATTTAAAATTTTCAAGAGCTTAAGTCTAAGTTATAATTGTAAATTGAAAATTACTTCAATATGTACTTATCTAAGCAATGTTTAAATTATGATTGATACATCGAGCTTAATTGAATAATAACTTAATATATTTCAGATTGATTTGATCGTTAATTAAATGGTTTATCAAACATTGTGAGCTGTGCAGCCAAGGATAATTGCGGAAAGTTTAAGTTTTTATCAAGAGAGAGATTAAATCAAGTGTCTTTCTATTTTAATTAGCTTTACTTAATTTAGCAATTAATCACATGCAAGATAAAAGTAAAGTAAAGCAAATAGAGTTTGAGAGATGATACCAGGATTTTTAGCAAAGAAAACCCAATTGGCAAAATAAACCAATTATTGTGAGAAACATCGTAGACTGTGCAGTCTAGAGCAAAACGACCCACTATGTTTGAAACAAGTATAATATGTGAGATATATATTTTCTAATTGGCTAATTTCACTGTCAAAACAAGTCCGATCGAGTTGTAATTTTACAATTCAAAATTTCAAAGATTGAAGATCGGATGTGGATTTGAAGAAAGTCAAGTGTTCATGGGATACTACACTCTGAGATGATGAGAATAACGCTCTAAGAAGTTTGAGAGGTAGTGAGAATATTTAGGAAGGGTTTTGAAAGGTTCGGAACAAGTTGAATTGCCTAAATTTCAAGACTGGCCATCTTGAACCGGTTCAAGGGGGTTGAACCGGTTCAAGGGGGCTGAACCGCTTCAAGAATTCATGGGATTCTTTACTGGCCATCTTGAACCGGTTCAGCCATTCAGAACCGGTTCAAGAAGTCCTGGTTGCATCAGGTTTCTAAGTTTCTTTCTTCTGATGTTTCCTTTTTGATCCCAGCTTCCTTTCAAGTCCTATGCACGAAATTTATCATATTTTCTGAGGGATTAGGACTTTCAAGACTATATATAAACCATGCCATATACATTAGTTTATTTATAGCTTTAAGAAAAATCAATTTTATATTTTGAGAAAGCCTTTAGAGAGAAAAATCCATAAAATCAAATTTGATTATTCTGAATTTATTTTTGAGAGCACACATATATATTTATGAGTGATTTAGTTGTGTTGTTCTCTATCTTATCAGAATTGGAGCTGTATTGAAGATTCAGATATTCCGAATGATCAGCAGGATTTAATTCTTCTACAATCAAGTTCAGATCTTGAAGAACAGAAGTAAACGTAGTCACACTTTAGAAAGGTTGGAGCATTCGTGGAGTGCTGTCTGATCTACCTGCTACTCTTCTAAGAATATCAAGTGTAAGCCTGAGGTCAAGTTACTGATTGGACGGGGAGTCGCAAAGTCAGAGGATCGTCAGCGGTTGGTATGGTGTAGAACGATAGGGTGTGAGCCAGAATCAAAGTTCAGTATACTTTGTTTCAAACATAGTAGATTAGTTTACTTTGGACTGCATAGTTCACGAGGTTTTTCCCATGCAAACAGTTGACGTATTTTATCAATTGGGGTTTCCTCGCTAAAAATCCCGGTGCAATCTCTCTAACTCTAACTTGCTTTACTTTTCATATATTTGTGATTATGGATGTTTAAATTGATCATATAATTTAATCAATCATAAATTGAGCAAGTTGACCTAATAATCAGATCTAGGTCATTAAATGATTTGTATTTTCAAAAATCAAAAGATATTTTTGTGAAAGTTGATACCAAGCCTTGTGTTATTTCTAATTCTCCTAAACTTGTTTCAACATATCATTTTTATGGTGAAAAAGGGCATATCAAGTATAAGTGTCAAAAAAGAAAAATTGAACTAGGAAAGAGATTGAAAAATCTAGAGAGTTCAAATTTGAGGAAGAAGAGGATTAGAATTGTTGAGCCATGTGACACTTTGCCTAGAACAATAGGAAAATCATTGCATAATGAATCTAAAATTGTTTGGGTAAAGAAAGAGAATTTTAAGTGTCTTGCCATGCACACTGCGCTTAGAGCACTTGGTCTATGTGATTGGTATTTTGATAGTGGTTGCTCTAGGCATATGATAGGGGATAGAATATTGTTTACCACTTTTAAAGAATGCTCAGTTGGTACTGTTACTTTTGGTGATGGTAAGGCTTCGACTGTAAGTGGTAAAGGTAAGATCAAATTTTCAGGAATTGGGGAGTTAAAAAATGTTCTATATGTTAAAGGTTTAGCTGCTAATCTGTTGAGTATTAGTCAAATCCGTGATGAGGAGTTTCAAGTCAATTTTACTCAACAAGGGTGTTTTGTAACTAATGAAAAAGGTGAATACATCTTGAAATGAACTAGAACTTCTGATAATTGCTATGTTGTGTCTTCAGATCCTTTACTAATGTGTTTTTCTGCAGTTACTGATGAGGTTGTTTTATGGCATAAAAGACTTGGACATGTGAATTATAATGATTTAGTGAATTTGTCTAACAATGATCTTGTTCAAGGTTTGCCTAAATTGAAAATGACTAAGAATGAAATATGTGGTCCATGTCAGTTAGGAAAACAAGTTAGAGTGTCATATAAGAGACTTATTCATAAAGTCACTACTCGACCTTTAGAATTGATTCATATGGATTTGATGAGTTACATAACACCTGATAACATTGGAGGAAAGAGATATCTACTTGTTATGGTTGATAATTTTTCTAGATTTACTTTTGTTGCATATTTGAGAGAAAAATCTTATACTTTTGTGAATTTCAGATCTATTTCCCAACTTATTCAAAATGAGAATGGATATCAAATTAACAGGATTAGGAGCGACAATGGAAGTGAATTTGAACCTAAGTAATTTATTGAATATTGTGATAAGAATGACATTTAGTATGAATTTTCAGCACCTAAAACACCACAACAGAATGGTGTAGTGGAAAGGAGAAATAAGACAATTGCAGGTATGGCTCGTACTATGCTTTATGAGAATAAGATTGCTAGTCACTTTTGGGCTGAATCGGTACGTACTATTTGTCATATCCTAAACAGAGTTTATCTTAGGCCTGGAACTAACAAGACTTCATATGAATTGTGTTATGATAGAAAGCCCACTATTAAACACTTTTGAGTCTTTGGAAGTAAATATTATATCCTTAGAGATAAGGAACACTTGAAAAAATTTGACTCTAGAAGTGATAAAGGTGTGTTTTTAGGTTATTCACAAACCAGTAGGGCTTATAGGGTTTTTAATCTTAGAACTAAAGTGGTCATAGAGTCTATAAATGTTGTATTTGATGATACAAAATCTAAGATAACCTTTTCTCAACTTGATGAAGAAGAAACTAATTTTGAAAATGCAGGAGAAAGGAAAGAACCTACAATTCATGAGGAAAAAAGAGTTGAGGCTTTAGGTGGAGAAGGTGAAGAGGTTGAAGAAGATGAGGATGAGGAATTAGAGGTCACCACTGATGAACCTATAGGAATTCCTACACCATTTCTAGATATTCCACATCTAGCAGTTCTAGAGTTAGATTGAGTCATCCAATTGACAATGTGATAGGTCCATGGGATAAGCATGGTACTAGGAGTATAGTCCGTGATGATGTATGACACTCATGCATTGTAGAAGATATAATTCACTCATGTCACATGGCTTAATTTGAACCTAAGAATGTTGATGAAGCTCTTCAAAGTTCTGATTGGCTTATGGTTATGCAAGAAGAATTGCTTCAATTTGTGAAGAATGATGTTGGAAATTAGTGCCTCGACCTAGTGATGTTAATATCATAGGGACCAAATGAATTTTTAAAAATAAACTTGATAAACATGGTCTTGTGATGAGAAATAGAGCTAGATTAGTTGCATAAGGATACACTCAAGTTGAAGGAATTGATTTTGATGAGACTTTTGCACCTCTTGCTAGACTTGAGTCTATTCGACTTCTTTTGCTCTTACATGTCACTTTAAATTCAAATTACTTCAAATGGATGTTAAAAATGCTTTTCTAAATGGTATTTTACAGGAAGAAGTTTATGTAGCACAACCAAAAGGTTTTATTGATCCACATAATCCTAATTTTGTTTTTCATCTTAAAAAGGCTCTTTGTGGTTTAAAGTAAGCACCTAGAGCATGATATGAAAGTTGACTTCTTATCTATTGTATAAGAGCTTCAAAAGAGGAGGAGCGGATAAAACGTTGCTTATTTTCAAGAAAGGAAAAGATTTTCTTGTTGTTAAATATTTGTGGATGATATTATTTTTAGTGCTACATGTGATAACCTTGTTCATACTTTTTCTAAAGATATGAGTAAAACTTTTGAAATGAGCATGGTTGGTGAACTGACT